GACTAATAATGGAGGACACAAACAGTAGTATGACAGGCTGCTAAGTGACTAACAATGAAGAACACAAACAGTAGCAGGACAGGCTGTGTGGTGACTAACAATGGAGGACACAATCAGTAGCATGACAGGCTGTTAAGTGACTAATAATGGAGGACACAAACAGTAGTATGACAGGCTGCTAAGTGACTAACAATGAAGAACACAAAAAGTAGCAGGACAGGCATGTGAAGGTGAACTAACTATGGGATTGGACCACAAACCAGTAGATGACAGTCTGCTTGAAGTGACTAATAATGGAGGACACAAAACGAGTAGACATGGCACAGGGCTGTGAGTGGATAAACAATGGAGGAGCGACAAGACAGGTAGCCATGACAGTGCTGTTAAGTGACTAATAATGGGATGGAACACAAACAGTAGTATTGGAACACGGCTGCTAAAGTGACTAACAATGAAGACACAAACAGTAGCAGGACGAGGCGACTGTTGAGTGACTAACAATGGAGGACAGCAAATCGTAGCATGACAGGCTGTTAGTGACTAATAATGGAGGACACAAACAGTAGTATGACAGGCTGCTAAGTGACTAACAATGAAGAACACAAACAGTAGCAGGACAGGCTGTGTCCCGGTGATCTAAACCAATGGAGGGACGCAAACAGTTAGCAGGCACAGGCTGTTGAAGAGTGACTGAAGATAATGGAGCGACACAATCAGCTAGCCATGACAGAGTCTGTGTGTGATAACATAACGAACTCACCTAGTTGCATGGACGCGGCCTGCGAGTGTGACACACGGTTGGGTGCCAGGGCGAAGTGTCCTTTCTGCAATCATGGCGCTGAGAAGCAACTGCTGTGCTGACGGCGTGCGCACGATGCTGCCAAGCAACATGGAAACATAATCATGCCAAAGCTTGGTGCTTAGTATGTTTAGGAATTGATGTGACAGCTTAAAGTTATGATATATGCAATGTTTAATAGGTTTAAGGGAATTGTAGGCTGCAGTAAATATTGGCAGTGGGTGCCCGGGGCGTAGGAGAGACTACACAATGTAATGAGCATTTTGGTCACTTAAAACAACAATCTCCTGAAGTAGTAAACTAAGCCAACAACACAAAATAAATCATAAAAAACAAGGTGACATTTTGATATTAATTGTACTAGTGTCATTTTAGACGAATTACTGTAATGGTAAAGATAAAACTGTTACTGTGAAATGGCAGATTCTACTGTAGAATTGCGAAAACACAACATCATTGGGAAATTTTACGAGAGGCCGAAACACGCTATTTAACCAGATAACTGCATGAAAATCACTAGTTCAGAGAACGTGCTTAACTAACACCTAACCTGTAGTACAGAGTGGGTCCAGCTGCTTAACTAACACCTAACACTGTAAGATGAAGTGAAGGCAAGTGCTTAATAACACCTACCTGCTAGTAGCAGAGAGGTCAGTTGCTCAACTAACAGCCTACCTGCTCAGTACAGAGAGAGGAGCAGGTGCTTAAAGCTAAACCACCTGTAGTACAGAGTGGCATGTCAGTGCTTAACTAATCACCTACCGTGTAGTACAGAGTTGCCGGTCAGTGCTTAACTTAACACCTTCCTGTAGATAGGGTGTGAGGCGTGACTTAAACTAACACTACCTGTAATACAGAGTTGGGATCAGTGCCTTAACTAACAGCCTAACTGTAGCAATTAGAGAATGAGCAGCTAGCCTTAACTAAACACAGCTACCTGTAGATACAAGAGTGGGTCATTTGCCATTAACTATAACACCTTAGACCTGTAGCATAGAGTGAGGGCCAGTGCTACTAACTACAACTACTGTAAGTACAGAGACTGGTGTCCAGTGCCTTAACTAACACCTACCTGTAGCATAGAGTGAGGCCCCAAGGTGCTTAACTAACACCTACCTGTAGCTAACAGAAATGGTCAAGGTGCCTTAAATAACACCTACCTGTAAGTCATAGAGGGTCAGGGATTAGCGTAACACCTTACTGTGTACAGAGTGAGGCCAGTGCTTAACTAACACCTACCTGTAGTACAGAGAGGGTCAGTGCTTAGCTAACACCTACCTGTAGTACAGAGAGAGGGCAGTGCTTAACTAACACCTACCAGGAGTAGAGAGGGGCAGTGCTTAACTAACACCTACCTGCAGTACAGACAGGGGTGGAGTAGACTGCACTGCGCTGCTAACTGGTGCTCGTACGCTATACGCTGTCTGTCCCGGACTTCGCTGGACGTGAGTCGATGAGACAAACCTGCACCAAACCGACACATCAGTGAGAACCCAGTGTGCACGCATGCGTGATCCCATTCACCCTACGTCTACCCTATATCTATACGGTAACTGGTTAAAGTATCACCTTTAATTAATCAATACATGACTATACAATACTAAGACAAAAGTAGGTGGTAGGTGAGTGGGAACATCTGCCAAGGACCTGACCTAGATTAGTTAAGCAATAACATTAAATGTAAGGACCTTTAGGTATAATTGATAATGTGGATACTACAGCTCCCTCTATTGCCCAAACCACTGACTAAACTGCAACACTCACAGACGTTACATATATACATAGACATAATACTACAATGGTGATTTTACTACACTAGCTGGCGAATACAACAGGCGAACAATTTTAACTGCACATAAAATCGAAACTGAATAATTAACTACTGCTGAATTTCAATTTTATGTAAAGTATTGCAGTTTCTGTAACCAAATCCAACCGTCAAAGTAATGTGCATGTGCTTTTACGTAAATGAGCTGAGCTGGTCAAATAGGTGACACTCCAACCAACACGTATAATAACATTAACAGTGTCTAGTTACGTCGGGGGCTAAACAATACCTCAAGTTTTGGCAAAAATGTTATAATGCCAAAAGGATGTTTACAATGCTCATGTCAGAACAAAACTAAAAATATTTAGTTATAAAGGTAGAAAGACAGACAGATAGACAGAAGGATAGATGAATTGATAGATAGACAATAGTTTATTATAAACACAGTCAGGTTATGTATAATTATATAAATAGCATTTACACATACAGAAGACTGAATAAACTAAGGTTAAACTCAAGCTCCTACACAGATATTTATATAATTTACAAATTTGGTAACTACACTGCCATACTGCATAAAATGTTGTGAAGCATGCAGCCAAATCATGCAAGTGAGAGCAGTTTAGTCACCTCATAAAGAAGGCTGAGAATAATAACAGACAATGATTCTTTTAAATTCTGTTCGTTGCGCACTATGACTGAGTTGCATGGTGATACCTTGCATGAATTTCTCACCTATGGACCTGGCTAGTCGACATGCCGATAGGTAGCTGTAGAATGCTCTGTAGGGCTGTGTTGCTCGCTGTAGCTGTGTGAGTGACATTCTTCACCATGGTCACGTATCCAGACGTGACTTCACACTAATAAGCACATACACCAAAACATGAGCAATAGCTGAGCAACATGATGCTAAACTCACAGGGTTCAAAACTAAATTTTTCGAGTGACTGCATACACATTGAGTTTGAGAAGACAGCTGCTGAACGGTCAATTTACAGGCACGAGAAAACCGATTCGAGTCGGAACAAAGCGAAATGTCAGGTGGTTTTCGGAGTTGGTGCTGATTAAGATAATTATATCTAATGAATTCCTATAGTATGGTACTTATTGATTTCATTCAGAAACTATCGTTAAAATAAGACCACAAGAGATACGACTCCATAGCGCAGCGTTAGCTTCCTGGACTACTAGTCCCTAACCCCCAAATTAGAAGAGACATTATTCAATTTAGCATGAAATCCGCACTACGTGACGAAGTAATATTTATACCTAATACGAGTAGTATTGCTTAAATAATAAGTTGGCACAGTTAACTGCACAAAGAATCATTTAAAAGCACATTCGTTATTCACATAAAAATCGACAATTAAATGCTTGCAAACAATTTGAGGTAACGTTATAATCTCGATCTGTATATTTGTATCTTCAAAGTGTAACTTACGCTGAGAGGGTCTATGTCCCCCGGGGTACTGCCGGAACGTACCCTGGGTACGGTCCGGTATACCGGAACGTACTCTGGCACTATCTAATATGCCGGACCGTACCTCGCCTACTCCACTAACGAGTCTAGGGAGTCGCCTACACCTACTCCATAACCCTAACCCTAACCATATCAAATAGTGACCAGGGTACGTTCCGGTATACCGGACCGTACCCAGGGTACGTTCCAGCAGTACACTGGGGGACATAGACCGTATGAGCGTAACGCACACGCAACAATAACAACTAAAAGAAATAAGCAATTCTACATGACGAACATAATGATGAAGTTACTAACCCACACGAGCTGAATCTAGCATCGTCACCTAAAACTTCTTTCGGTACATAAAGCACATAAAGCTGTCAACGTTCTAGTGAGCATTAAAAATCACAAATATGCATAAACCGTGTTATGAGCACGTCACACAACCTGTTCCTGTACACTTATTTACACTTATTTTAAGAAATGTTACCACGTTATAAATAATTCATGATTTACCAGTAAAACAGCGCGTGAACACTCAGCTTTGTTTTTCCAACACATAGTACAGGATACTTGGATATCGTACACCAACTTGAGCTAAAACTAGGATGAAATGAAATTTAAAGTGCAAATCCAGTCAGATAAATTACGGGTCACTAAACCATTTAAATGGAATGTTATAAACCTCTACGAGTATAAATACATGTATAAATGGCTATATTAATTATTATATATCTACATTATATATCCTATGAAATGCCTCTCTCACACAGCAAGGTGCGAACAATAACATGATTTTGTGACGTCATGAACCTCTGAAATAAGAGCAGGTGAGATGTAAATCATATCTAAACTTGGTCCAACTGATATGTGGTCTATTAACAATAAAGTTACTGAAACGGCACGAGATAATCATTGACCCTGCACATACGCACGAATATAACCAGCGAATCGAAACAACGCAGTGTTTAATTGCTGATACCATCGCTTGACCACCCTCCACAGATTCCTGAAAAGTTGAAATCAATATCGGGCTTAATTACTAGACCTGCTCTATATACCCTGTACTGCAAATAGTGACTAGTTGAACCTAGTAATTTCATTAACCTGCTATGTAGCAGCCAATTCGGCAATACACCCATAGTTACTAGGCAGTGACACACTCGTCAGTTATGAAGCAACGATATACATACTGGTTATTAGACAATCATATAACCACCAGTTGATATGCAGCGATGCACCCACCAGTTTCTATGGTATAAAACATGGTACTTGTGATATCCTGGGCACTAGACACATACAACTACGATAGAAATAGGGCAGAACTCTTGTGTGCAATGTCATGCATGCAAATATATTTAAGACGACTTTACACAATTTACACAGTTTCATAATTGATTGTCACATTTTCTTACAGATCTATCTATATACATGGGTAAAAATATAATTGCTTCTCATAATGAAGGAATACTTTCCCACCCACACACCATAAGTGAACCGAACAACAATATTATACATGATCATGTCTTCAGAATTCTTGTTAGCACTGAAGATTGAAACTTCTATCCCTAATCCACGCGATCAAAATAACTGATCTCAAAAATATCATTGCTCTAAGGGAAATGAGTGGACACATTTGTAAACTGCCTTGAGTAATGTATTTTTATTTTTCAGAGAGTATGAGCGTACCCATACACCGGCTATCAAGCTATAGCTACAGCTTTGGTGGAGTCGGTGTTGTTCTTCTCTTTTGCTTCGGTTTGGCGCCGGCGCGGGCTGCCGCCTGCAGCTGTAGCTGCTGCTGCAGGTGCTTCTGGTAGGCTAGCTGAAGCTGCTGCTGGCTGATACTCTGCCCCGTGATGTGCACCGTCTGCTGTCCACCCGGGTGACCAGCAAGCTGCCCTCCCACCTGTGCAACACAGGCGAGTTCGTAACAAGGTCAAAGTGAAATAGCAATCGCGCAGCATTCTCACCGAGTGGAGCAACCTGAGTATGATTTAAGTTTCGAACAATAATTGTTTCCAGAATTTCCTTGCCAAGTCGGAACGTAGTTGAAACAGGCGTGGCTTAATTTCTGTGTTTGGGTAGCTATCCACAATTACGTTCATGACTACTAAATATATAATAATTAATATAGTATCGTTTATAAATCTGGACGTACACAACTCTCTGACTCCCTGTATATGACTATAATATTTCACAAATTCTCGATTTCTCCAACCAAAGTTCAGCCCATTCTTTTCATTTGAACATATCCGTGAGTTTAGTCTCACATACCTCTGACGAGATAGAAACGACATCTTCTCAAATAACCAAGCAACCAGCAAACATGACTAGCAGTTACTGTCTCCCAATTCAGCATAACGGCTGCTGACAGGAAATGTCACCTGTCACTTACGCCGCACGTTGTGCTGTTGTCATGCAGATATTTGTCAAGATGTGTGCACGGACTTTGTGGAACAAATGATTTACCTGTCCACTGATGACGTGGCTGGAGTTTGAGCTTGATGCTCCAATATGTACCGAGGAGGTACCTGAGCCTATTCAAATGCAAATACATGCAGCATAAGAACCCAATGTTGATCTTTGACGTAGCAATTCATAGTAGTTCTTTATTTAGTGTTCATAGTAGTTTTAGTGACTGATGATTTAGAACTCACGGAGTAGCAAGACAGGCTGCGAGGTGACTAATAATGGAGGACTTAATCAGTAGCAGGATAGGCTGTGAGATGACTAATAATGGAGGACTTAATCAGTAGCAGGATAGGCTGTGAGGTGACTAATAATGGAGGACTCAATCAGTAGCAGGATAGGCTGTGAGGTGACTAATAATGGAGGACTTAATTAGTAGCAGGACAGGCTGTGAGGTGACTAACAATGGAGGACACAAACAGTAGCATGACAGGCTGTGAGGTGACTAATAATGGAGGACACAAACAGTAGCATGACAGGCTGTGAGGTGACTAACAATGGAGGACACAAACAGTAGCAGGATAGTTTTCCTACACCCATGATGACATAAGCACGAATAGTCCGGGATCAAGACCGACTATCACGAGCCTAGGTCGAGCCGTTAGGATTTGTGAGCCCAGCGAACGTTCTGATTACATTGTCGCTGTTCCCTAAACTAAAGCACCCCTTAAGTTAAGTGAATGAAATCGTTCGCCAGCCTTAGTTTCTACTCACTTCTTGACCATCATGGAATCCCAGCTTTGACTCAGCTCCCCACTTCGCACCAATCCCAACCCATCGATTTACATTGCATCTCCGCACGACCGTAGCAAGCGACTGCATACGAATTAAGTTCGTGAACCTAATGGTACGTCGAAGCGCAGCTTAAGATTTGTGCCCAACTGTTGACGAGCGCGTAGACGACAGGTCACGACGGCTACGACTGCCGGCTAGACGGAGCGGGACGACGACATGGCGATTCTACAAGCGCAAATCTGACTATGTCAGATTAGCTATGAACAGTTAGTATAGCCGTACCGTGGTAGGTGCTTCATTGTTCTTCCACATTGGTCAGTATTCAAGGCCATCCATGTTAAAAATCATTATTTCCTTCATATTCAATATATCAATAGCACACTGCCCACAGTTCACAAATTAAGAAATGACTAAGCACATTCGTATACACATAGCAGAAAATCTAGTAAAAATAATGAACCAGTTATCTTTCGAACCTATAGCAAGTTCTAAAATTATAAGCTTGATTGGGTATTCTATGACCAAGTAAAAGGTCCAACTATTACATTAAGTATTAGTACGGTATTTACACTTACAGAAGAGCATATACTCAGAAATTTTGGGGACTGTGGGTCATATTGTGCTATAATAGTAATTAATAGTAGGTCCCAATCACCAACTCTGTACACAGTAGGTCTGTTAGTTGAGCCCGTTACCACGTATTCAAAAACTGCCGATGTGCCCCTTAAGACTATGGCAAGAGGTCGGCGAGGGAGTCTTCCGTCACTCAGCGAGAGATTGTAGCGTAGAGTAAAATCTATTAGCTCGCTTGGATGAAACGTGTAGCTGGTGAAGGGCTGTTCAAAAACGGACCGTAGCGTAAGAAAGACTTTTTAGAACATGGAATTGAACCATAAAAGTTGAAATGTATCAATGGTCATGTCATCTCAGGTCATCCATTACTCGTGCTTCGTATTCCCTGCTACCGTGGCACTGTGTCTTCCTCTTCGACAAAAATGAGTCGAGTGCGACCTCCTGGCTAGTATGCAAGGTATACAGTTACGCAGTCGGTGAGAGATACCACAACTAATGCAGAGTTTACCGGCGACATACCGGGCTATCGCGGAATGCAGAAACTACTGGCGCGCCCCTCTCGGCAGAACATATGAGGCCTGCCAGAACTGTCAATGCGTGTATGTATGTTAGACCACA